GAACTCAGGGGAGAAGCGGATGCCAGCAGCATCCTCTTCCTTTCAAAGTTGTTTTTTTTTCCCTTATATTATGGGAAAACCCCTGTGGAATTTATTATTCTAATGAACATGATCTGAGGATATTCGGGTGACACTGGTGCCTGTGTGGAGGGGAGGGCTGGGAACCAGGTGAGGTACGTGCACATGTTATCTGTGTCTAGATGGGTTTTTGCTGCAATTGCAGACATTGCTTATTTTGGGTAAAACACAAGGCAGAATTGGAGAAGCCAAGAGGCAGAGATATATATGCTTTATATAGTACCTTACAGAACACTGAATGTAGCTCCATTTACATGGCTATATAATGTTGCTAAATCCTTATCTTGCCAGGTCATTACCATCTTGGACAACCAGGACTATTGACCTTCCTCCTTGTCTACCCCACTGGAAGAGCTCAGTGCCCAGAGTTCATTTTTGTATTTGGGCTTAAGTTCTTCCCATTTTCTCCACTTTTTATTTAAGAGCCACCTGGGGCAGAATTGCATGCACCCAGCTCAAAGTTCCCTCTCCAAGGACTGCCTGACAGGTTCATACCCCTGAAAAAATCCTAGGTGCCAGTTGCAAGCATCAAACCCCACAGGTATGCTCCCAGGTTAATCCCATTCCTGAGTTTTATTTCTCTAACTCTGGCAGGATGCATGAAATGGCAAATGTATCTGGCATACGAACATTGCCAACTAGAGAATAGAAATCTAAGTACTGATGAAGTAAATGTTGATAAAATCCTGAGCAGATTGCCCTGGGTCGGGTGATGGCATAAAGTAATACAAGGTTTTCAGGCATTGCATGATGAATAGTTTCAAGGGAGGGTTTTTGGGGGTTTTTCTGTGCTAGAGAACAGGGAGGAAAAGAATCCAAGGGCTGTTCCCAACAGTTAGGCACACTTGGGCACTTGGGCACTGGTGTTGAAGCCAGCGCCTGGTGCTGCCCTGGCTCACCACCAACAAACTTGGAACCTAAAAATCTGCTCTGGGCCAAGCCTGCTTCCCTGTCCTGCAAGAAATGAGAACAAAAAAGTCAAAGGAGGCCTCCCACAATGAGGGTATCTGAGGTGGGGTAGAATCAAAGCAGCAGCCCCTGTCTTTGGCCTGCCCTGGCCCTTGGCCCATGGGATCGAGGCCCTTATGCGTAAGCTTGGTCTGAGCTGGACAGGTTTATATTTGGCTACAGTTTTAAAAGCAAAGTCTTATGTCACTGTGGAGTGTTTGTGTTTTTGTGGAATTTAAATATTCCTTAATTAGATGTTGTCTTTTAGTAGAATGAAAGAAGAGTTTTTCATTTCACTTTACTTCGCCGTTTTAATTTACTCGCATTTGTGTTTAATAACTGGGTAGGAGAACATTAAACAGCTGCTGTAAAGTATTTGGTAACATGGCCCCAACTTTCAAATAGGACCTGCCATACAGGTTGGTGATGGCGGGTGTCTTGGAAGCTGCTTCCAGGTTGGGGACAGGGGAGAGCTGACTGGATTTGTCCTGTTGACCCTTCTCTCCTCACCCATTTTCCACAGGAAGCAGCTTTCTCTCTTCTGTAGTGCAGACGAAAGGGATGTACCCTGCAAGAGAGTACAGCCCCCCAACAAATGTCCTTGAGCTCCCTGCCGGTGATGAAGAGCACCAGGTGCAGAGGCTGAGGGCTGCTGTTCCAGGGAACGCGGGCTGGGCAGGCAAGGACAGGCAGGACCAAGCAGGACAGGCAGGGAGGGTGGCACAGGCAGGATAAAAGTGAGGCTGGCAGGCACGAGTAGGAGCACTCGTGGCCAGGCAGGAGAGGCCGTGGGGAAGAAGACAACGGAGCCAGAGGCCGGGGAGTGCTGAGCTGCCCCATACGGACACTGCCCGCGACTCCCCGAAGCTCCACCCATGACATCCCTCCACCGTGGGGTCTCGGGCCGGCACAGTGGCAGTGCCGCCAGCAACCCAAAAGGGGTTTAGCCTATAAAACACGTCCGGGCTGGAAAGGTGCTCCCAGTTCCATAAAACTCAGGGGCAAGGGCAGGACCCGCTCCTGGTCAGGACAGGTGTCTGCCGCAGGCCGCCCCCGCTCCTTGGTGCCGCGCACACCGGGAGCACGCACCGCCACGGCTGTCCGGCAGATTCAGCCTCTGGGCTGGATGGGGAGGGTGGATGGCGTGGGCTCCTTCTTTCTTTCTCCCTCCTCCCACGAGCAACTCGCGTCACTCACGGCTGACGCGCTGACTTGTCCGGCTGCAGCCAGCGCTACCTTCCCCATCTACAGCTCTCTTGCTTTGCAGAGCCTAGGGTTATCCCTCCATTTCCAGCCCCATGCCCTAAAAATAGCACCCTGCAACATGTACCGGTTCCCGCGAATCTGCGTGAGCATTCCCCGTGGACTAAGTTGCGGGATTTGTAGATTTGGGAGGAGGAGAGGGAGAGGATGGTACTGATTTTCTCCCCCACAGCAAACACTTTTTTATTTTCAACGTTTAGGGTTTGGGGTCTGTCCCGGGCTCGGTCTCCTGCCCGTCAAGAAGAGAGCTTGCCACACTGGGACTGCTCTCGGCAGCCGCGCAACCTCCGCATCCGCGCAGTCTCCCGTGCCGTCTCCCCGCTGCCATCGCGGGGAAACTCCCATTTATCCCAGTCCCGGCGAAAAACGCGCCCCGCTCGGCTTCTCAGACGGTCGTTTTCGGACAGAAGAGATTGGATATGTTAGGTGTTTAAGAGATTTAATATTAAAAATACGTAGCAATTAAAATCACGTTCGCGTCCCGGCTGCTCCGCGCAAATAAAGTGCCTCTCCCCTCTCCGACTCACAGATTATATTTACGGAGTTTTTCCCTGCTATTTGCTTGAATTTGAAAACCTCTGGCCCTTGCACTAACGCCGAGCGGTGTTTTCGGGGCGGAGGGGAGAGAGGGTTCGCCCCCCGCCCCCCGGCGTGTTTTATCACCCGTATGCGAGCGGCCTCCCAGCCGCCGCGGCAGCCCTGCACGGCGACCCCTGCCCTGCCAGCACCACCGGGCCCCCACTTCGGGCCCTGCAGCTGGGGGCTGCCCCACGGCCCGGGCCGGGGGCGGTGGGGACCCATCACTCTCCACGAGATGACCGACGGCACAGCGAGGGGCGGCTCCCTCGCGGGTGACATCTGCACCCTCCCCTGCACTTGTCTTGCCTCGGACCCAGGCTCTCGCCACGTCGAGGATGGAAATTAAGGATCGCCCCATCCCTCAGCCGGTAGGAGCTGACCCAGGCAAGTACCGGCGGGGCCGTTCGTTCCGTTCACCTCGACGGGTTTCCGTGGGAAAGGAGCGGGCCGGCAGCGGGGCGAGAGAGCCCCTCTGCAGGTGACCTGCCAAATATGGGCAGCGCCTGAGTACCAGGAGTGGGGGTGTCGTCAGAGCCCAACACGGTACTACTCCTGTACAGGGGTACGTACAGCCCGACCCGCCCCCTTTTTCTTTTTCCCTTGGGTCGCTCCCTCGGTGCCTACGGCCACTGGCCACGCGTGGGGTGCATAAGCCCAGGAGCTTGCGGGTGTGGGGCAGCCTCCAACGGGACATCAGCTCCCCTCCCTCCCTCGCGCTTAGAGGGAGTGAGGGAAGTGAGGGGCGGCGGGCAGACACCCCCAAGAGTCCCCACTCCCCAACCCCTTGCCTGCCTGCAAAGCGTCTTTCTGGGAACCAGTACAGCCCGAGGAGGGAGGGGGCTGCAAAGCCCTCCTCCCCCCGGGGCGGCCCGGGATCCCTGCCCCTCACCGCGCCGGTGGGCTCGGCGCAGGACCCGAACCGGGGCGCGCAGAGACGCGTCCGCGGCAGCTTCTGCGGTGGGAAAAAAGGGCTGAGGCTGTCGCCTGGGGGCAGCCGTGGGGCGGCCCACGCGTGGAGCCGCCTCCCCGTGGGAAGCTGCGATAGCAAGGCGCTGGCTGCGGGGAGAAGCGGAGGAGGACTGGCTGGTTATGTGGGGGAGTTTTTGCTCTTTTCCTCCCGCCCCCAACACAGTCACGTCCACCCCACATCCGATGCGGCTTTCCCTGCCCCTACCCGTCTTCTTTCCTGCCCCGAAGCCCCAAAAACGAAAGCCTTCTTATTGCCCCCCAGCGCTGAGCCCCGCTGGTTTCCTCCTAACAAGCACACCGAGGGCCGCGGGCAGCCGATTCGCACCATTTTTTCATGCCCTTCAAGGCACCGAGCCGCTCTCTTTTGTCCTGGCTGCGGATGACCCATTTCCTCCCTTTTCCCCCCCTTCGGCCCCGGCGTCCGTCCCACCCTCCCGTCCCTCCGCCCTCCTCCCCGCCGCACGGCCCGGGAGCCGCACCGCGCCCGACTGCGCGCAGCGGGGCCGGCGGCCCGAGGAGGGGGGGACACGGAGACGGGGAACCGGTGCCTCGTCCGCTCCGTGTTTGTTTTCCTTTCCTCCCTGAACGCTAGATTAAGACGTGAAGATTACACTTTTATTGTGGCGGCCGAATAATACCACGAGTCAACACACAGAGCAAACAAAAGTGCTTGTAGTACATGGCCAACCCCGCTGGGAACCGGGCTGCGGGCTGCTGCAAAAATCAAGCTCTTCAGTGCTAATTACAAATAAATGATGATGTGCTCACTAAGTAATTGATTTAATGAAGTTCCTATGAAACTATTAAAACCGGGTAGAGGTCAGGCTGGAGACGCCCCAGAGCGCCCATTGTGGGATGTTTAACTCCGCCAATCTCCTCGGAAAGACATCGGGGCTAATAGGTGAAGTCACAGCTGGGTCGGGCTGACTTTTGCAGCACCGGCACTGGCCTCCCCAGTTTCGCCTAGCGGCCCGCACCGCAAGTTCGGGGAAGAGAGTTCCCCTGGCACACCCCCGGCCCGCTATTCCCACCCTCATCCTCCCCTCCCACATCTCTCTCCGGGGTGCGGCTGCTCGCCTCCTCCCCCCTGAGCTCGGAGCCCCCCGGAGCGGCTCCCCCGGGGTGCCCGTCCCGGTCCCGTCGGGGCCGCGTTGGGTACTCACTCGCTCGGCCCGGCCGCCTCGCTTGCGCCTCAACCAGGCGCCTCCGCGGCTCTCCCCAGCCTAATTAAAGAGGGGAGAAGTGGAGCTCTGAACTTGTGTCTACCACTACAGGACGGCTGTAATTCCACCCCCCACCCTCGGCCCCGAACCCCCCCTCCCCAACCTCCCCCCCGCCTCGCGTACTCAGACACACACATACTTCTTGAAGAAACTTAAGCTAGGATGCCAGGTAGGGTGCTTGGGAGATTTTGGCAAGGTGCCTGGAAGGGGATGTGTGCCCATTTTTCCTTGAAGGGTTTTCTTGTTTGAAAGGCCATTTGGAGCGCTTTAGACGGGTTTGCCGAGTGAAAGGAAGAGGAGGGGGAGAGGGGGAACATAGAAATTGAAAAAAAAAAAAAAAAAAAAAAAAAAAAGTAGAAAAAAAGTGGAAGAAGAAGAACAGAATCTGGCTATTGGGTTTCCCAGCCTCACGCTCAGCTTTTTACTCCTCACCACTCGTGCAGGACAGAACTGAAGTGAACCATTCTCCCTCCCACCGCCGCCCCATCCAATTAAGGGGTCCCCTAACCCGACCTCAGCTCTGAGTGCACTTTGGGGCAGTGGATCCCCGCTGACCCCGGGGGAATGGGGGCACACACCCCCACACACCTGCAAAGGATTCCTCTGCGCCCCCTTGCTTTCAACACCCGGTGCCTTTGGCAGATTGAAAAGGAGTCGTACAGAAAAGAGGAGCCGCCCCCCAACTTGCACCCCCGCTGTTGGTATTTGCTGAGCGAAGAGACGATGCCCCCCAGGGGCAAAGCCCCTCTCGGCCTCCACCACTTTTAGGGAGGGAGGGACGGGGCGCCCCATTGGGGTTCGAGAAGCCCCCACAACCGGAGCGGGGGGCGCAGGGATGGGGCCCGGGAAAGGCTTCTCCCCGAAATGCGGGGTACTTCGGTGCTCCCCGCAGAGGGGAGAGCGGCGAGCCCCTGAATACGAGAAGGTGAATGCAGGGCGAGGCGTCGCGCCGGATGTCCCCAAGACTGTGTGTCCCCCCTGCTCTCGTGGCTGCCTGGTGCACACTGGGGGCTGCCCTACACTGAGGGTCGGCCTCATTTACGGGGCCGGCAAAGGGCAGCGCCGGCAGCTGCCTGCATGCGGCCGGGACACAGCCGGAAAGGGGCTCAGGCACACGCCACGGCTCCCCACGCAGCCACGCGTGGGCTCCCGCACGGGGCTGCCGCGGGACCTGAGGCAGTTCCTGCTGTTCCCTTGCAGGATTTTGGGGAGGGCTGTTTGACGTGTGGTTTTGGTTTTGTTGAGGTTTTTTTTCTTTCTTTCTTTTTCTCGTGGAAAACGATTAATTTGAAACAAATTAAGCTCGCCAGCCTCTTGTTTGCCAAACAGGCTGTTGGCAATGTGCAAACAGGCTTTCACCCCTGCGCCGTGCCCCCGCTCCGCTCCCTGCTGCCCTGCTCCAGCCTTGGCCGCGCACCCTCCTCCTCCTGCCCCTGCCCCGCCGCGCCAACCCCCCCCGAGCCCTACAACACCGTTTGATTACTATCTCCCTGTTGCCCTTAATGCACGATCCGGGTTTCTCTTCAGCCTCAAAATAAGAAGTGACACATGCACCACTAAACCAACTTGTGGGGAAAGCCCGCAGTTGAGAGGGGCTATTGATGGGAGCGCTGCAAAGAGACAAAGCTGGGGGCTAGTGGAATCAGATGCAGCCCTTAATTAACACCATCTTAAATAGTCCAACAGGCACTGAAGACAAAGTTGAAGAAAGACTTTAAGGCTGAGTGCCCCTCGACAAGTTCTTTTTTTTTTCCTCGTGTCATTCAATATTTAATGCACTGTGCTTGTAATGCTACTACTGGTGCTCCTTTCTCAGCAAGTACATTATTTTTTCACGGTGCCCATGGCCAGGGAAAACCCTTTAGGCAAAGAAAATCAAAATGTTTGTTGTTTTGGATGACTTATAACTCTTGTTTAACACAAGCACTTTCAAGAAAGTATAACAGGCGCAGCCTCTAAAGCAAACAACGAAATCCTTGTGACAGAGTCGGACACAAAAAGCACATTGTGTTATGGACTATCCCTTTTCTCTCCTGCTAGATGGGTGCCTGTCTGAGGCTGAACACCATGATGCCATTTTACTTTTGAACTATTGTTTTTGAGTTATGCCATGTGGTCAAAAGGAGAAGAAGGGAGGTTGTTTCCAAGCTCATAAGACAAACGAGTTGCCTTTCATTGAACTACCCCAGAGCTCCTTTAAAACGAGGTTTAAATGTCACCTCCATGTTTTTAATGGACACAGGGCTTCAGGGGCGACCCTTCAAAGCGCCTTCGTAATAAACGACCCTTATTAAATATGTCTCTGCCTGGGAAAATCACTTGGCAGAAGAGAAAAAAGGGGGAGCGGGGGTGGGGGAAGGAGAGACACGGTGCTGCCGGAGGAGCTCCGCCACCCCCCTGCTCCCTCCGGGGCTGGGACGGAGCGGAGGACGGTCCCGCTCCGGGTCCCTGCGGCCGGGCGGGGCGGGCCGGGGGGGCGGGGGCTGGGGGCTCTGGGGTGTTGCTACACGGATACACTCGCCTCCCCCCCTCGTCCCAAACCCCCTTTTCTCCCTCCTCCCCCCTTCACCCCCCAAAATAAGAGGCTGAATGAAAGGTTGGGGTGTTTTCCTCCTGACTTCTTTTTGTCCTTAGAAGAGCGGCGTCTGCGAGTCTGAGCTGCGAAGTTACTGATTTGCAGGCTGCATGTTAAGGCAGCCCATGTAAGTAATTTCTGCGGGCATCCCGGCAAAGGAGAACAAATCGTTGACAAAGGCGAGCCCTTTCAATTCAGCAGCGTCGTTAGGGAAACCAAAAAGTATTCTTCCTATAATAAGTTCCACTTCAAAGGATTTCTCATTCAACGGTGACTGCTTCGCACTTTTATTAAGTCCGGGCTTTTTCACTTGGCGGAATCATCTGTTTGGTTATTTTTCATCGTGTTTATTTTTCACCATTCACACAGTACTTGTATTAAATAAACAAAGAACAATCGCTCTGCAAATAAAAGTACTTAGGTGGGGGGAAAAAAAAGGGAGGCAGAAGAGAAGAGCGGGAGATGGAGCTTCTTCCTCATTTATTTATCTGCTGAAGTTGGGAAGGGGGGGTCCTAAAAAAAAGGGGAGAGGAAGGGTCGCTGGGAGAGAGGCCAAAAAATATGAGACGTTCTGATGAAGTGAAAATTGACTGCGCTAACACGGCATGAAACTAAAGGTCAATGCAACTGTATCTTAATAGAGTGTCTCGAATCGAGGTGGACTATTTTAAATGCAGCTTGCTTTTGCTGCTCTCATTGCCATAGCAATCCTAACGCTCCATGTTGATGTACCATAAAAGCAGTAGTTTGAATTTCAAAGAACCTGCCTTTGAACTTCTCCCTGCCTGATTAGGCACTTGCGTGGTGTGTGTGTGAATGCGGGAGCGTGGTTGTGTGTGCTGAGGGTACGCGGGATGCGGGGGGAGAGCGGTGGCAGCGCCCCGCCGGCGTTTGGGTGTCCGAGCCAGGGGGGAGCGTGTGTGTCCGCGTGTGAGTGTGAATGTGTATCCCAGCACACTCCCTGATCCGTCCCGGTCTGCTCTACCTGAAAATATTTTTCCGGGGTAATGGAGGGGGAAGGGGCAGGACGGGGTGGAGATGGGGGGGGGGGGGGGGAATGAGTGACAATCCATCCTTGCCAGAACTTCACAACTCCCTGGCGACATCTCTAGAAGCACGAAACATGCGAAGAAAACCCCTGAAAATCCTTGGTTCTCCCCACCACCCATCCTTTGGAAGACAAAGCAGCAGGCTATCCCGGCTGCCCGGCGCCCCGCACCCTGCCTGTAGCGGGTGCGTTGTGGGGCGCAGCCCCGCGACTCTCCGCTTATCCATATCTACAGCCCCCCTCCCCCGCAATGCCATTTCCCACACTCCCGAAATTTCTTAGTCCCTTCAAACTTCGCTACCGCCGCTCTCGCCTTTAAAGGGCCGAGCGCCAGCAATAGTGTGTGGCGAGATGTCCCCCAGCCGCGACTACAAAGGTAGATGATTTAAACAGTGTTTGCTAGGACCACGTTTCGCCTAGGAAAAGATGAAGTCTTTGATGATGGCCAACTCGGTGTCAATAAGTGGCTTTCTTTGAGCCATATTCAGATGGGAACGTCTTGCTTGCCAATTGCCATAGAAATCCTAACACACCATGAAGATTGTCCAAGCGCCAAGCCTTCCGTTCTGGGCTAAATTACTTTGAAGTGGGGCAGGACGTGCACTGGTCAATGTTAACTCTATAGGGCGGGCAGGGAACACTAGGAAAGGGAGGTTGGCGGGGGGGGGAAGCAGAAAATAAGAAGGGGAAACTTGTTTTAGACACTCTATACAAGGTTCTGCTCATTGTCAGATATCTTTTATCTTTTATATTTCCCATGAATGATTCATGTCTCGGTGGCTTTGTGTCGCCCTCCTTTTCACAAGAAACTTCATTAGGGAGCTATAAGTTTTCCCATTGATTGGAGCCCTCATTTATGAGTGTTTTTCTGCTTCGTATGTTGGTTATTGTCATTCTGCTTGAAACAACTCTTTGCAACCTGTTTCACCTTTACCACATTTAACAAAACTGACTTAAAAAACACTCTAACCTTTTGGTGAAACTGTTCTTGACATTTTGACCAGTCATTTTCGAGCACTGGTAAATTACGGGGCGGGGGCGCAATCACTCTGGGCTAGTTTTATTTAATTTATTTTATTTTAAAAGAAAATTAAAAGACGAAATAATCCTGGAGGATGCCGACACACGATTCTGTCCGGATTTTTTTCACGGGTTTTCCTAGCTTTCTCCTCTCGAAACGAGAAACCTGTCCTCACTCAGCTTCTGAAAACTTCGAGGTTTTTCTTGTCCTTCATTCCAGTGATTTCCTGGCGTTATTTCTTGTCTGATCTCACTCTGCGTTTCAAAATCATCTTCTGGCATACGGTTTCGCTTACATGGCTGCTACCGAAGAGTAGTGCTATTTAACTCATTAATATCCCCAAGAGAATACTGCCAGGAAAATCTCCCTCTTTTGTTGTTGTCGTTTTGTTTTTTCCCTAACAGAAATAAACAT